CTTAAGAAATGAACATTTGAACTCAACTCAGATTTAAACCCAGATTAACAATAACTGCTGACCAATGTACACTTTTCCCATAAAAAGCATACAAATACTAGAAGCCAAATAAAAGGATGCTGCTTAATGTTCCTTTTATTACTACTGCTCCTGATGCTACTTTTATTGCTTGTGATGCTATTATTGTTGCTGCTGGTGGTGCTGCTTTGACTGAGTGGTACTGCTTACCTTCTGGTGCTGCCATTACTGCTGTTGATGTTACTGGACTGCTGCTGCTGTTACTGTTGACGCTATTACTGTAGCTGCTGCCAGTGCTGCTTTTACTGAGTAATGCTACTACAGTATTACTTTATGGTGCTGCCATTACTGCTGCTGCTTTTACTGACTGGTGCTGCTATTACCTTCTGGGGCTGTTATTAGTGGTGTTGGTATACCTTCTGGTGCTGTCATTACTGCCGCTGCTGGTGCTGATATTAACAGTGCTGCTATGCCATCTGTTGCTGTCATTACTGTTGCTGCTGCTGTTACTGCTGCTTGTGCTGCTATTACTGGTGCTGCTTTTACATTCTGGTGATGTCATTACTGCTGCTGCTGTTACTGTTGCTTGTGCTGCTATTACTGGTGCTGCTATTACCTTCTGGTGCTGCCATTAATGCTGCTGTCATTACTACGGCTGCTGCTGTTACTGTTGCTGGTGCTTCTATTACTGGTGCCGCTTTTACATTCTAATGATGTTATTACACTGCTGCTGCTGTTACTGCTGCCTGTGCTGCTATTACTTGTGCTGCTATTACCTTCTGGTGCTGCCATTACTGCTGCTGTCATTACTGCGGCTGTTGCTGTTACTGCTGCGGGTGCTTCTATTACTGGTGCCGCTTTTGCATTCTAATGATGTTATTACACTGCTGCTTGTGCTGCTATTACTGGCGCTGCTATTACCTTCTGGTGCTGTCATTACTGCTGCTGCTTTTACTGACTGGTGCTGCTATTACCTTCTGGTGCTGCCATTAATGCTGCTGTCATTACTACGGCTGCTGCTGTTACTGTTGCTGGTGCTTCTATTACTGGTGCCGCTTTTACATTCTAATGATGTTATTACACTGCTGCTGCTGTTACTGCTGCCTGTGCTGCTATTACTTGTGCTGCTATTACCTTCTGGTGCTGCCATTACTGCTGCTGTCATTACTGCGGCTGTTGCTGTTAC